AATAAAGAGAAACACTTGTAAAGTCTTCAACAAACTTCTCTGAGGATTTCTGGAGAGATGCCATTTGATGGAAGAAAAAGTTTATAATCTTGGTAACCGAGGATAGACAAACTGTCTTGGAAAGAGACAACCATTTTCCATCCAAATATAAAACCTTAGAAAAAATTGCTCAAATAAAGAGCTGCCACTTGTTGTCTGGTATAAATTCCAAGAGAATGTTACCATACTGCTGGAGAAATATTTTATTTTCAATGGTGATCTTCAAACAGATTCTTCCTGGGAAGTCAAAGTGCAAAATAAATGCACGCTCAATCCAGGTTCAAAATCCTAGAGATATCCAAAATTATGATTTTTAGGGACCAAAGTTCAATTCAGAAAGTAACTGAAGAGAAATGGTCAAGCAAGACTCTACCAAATGAGGAATGAACTCAACTGGAGTTTATCTTATCCAGAAATGGAAAAGAAATCCAAAGCAACCGTCTTCCACGAGGATCGAATTTAGTGAGAAATTTAGAAATGTTGTGCTCTTTTTTCCTAGGGCCGACGACTCTACTTGGAGGGAGAAGACAAACCCATTCACTCGGGGATAAACATGACCAAAGTGAAAGGACAAACAAACACAAAAATGTAAAATGCACAGATGCCATGTATCTATATGAATGAATGTATGTCATGTTATGCTTATGCTGACAAAATAAACAAAGAGAAGTAAACTAGAAATGAAATAAACATCTCAACATGGATATTCGACCAATCTTCACAAGATAGAAACATCATTAGGGATGAATGGGAAGCCACATATGGGACCACAGTCTTGCATCAAGGCTTCAAACTTCTCTGGGGAAAAGAGAGTACTCAACTTGGGAATAAACATCATGACTTCACCTAGGGGATCATCAAGATGAATCCTGCTACTCTGTTAGAGATGAGAAAGATCCACTGGGAAAAGATCAAACTCATGATTGGAGAGAGACTTCATAGGGGATAAAATAAATATCCACTTCGAACTGAAGTAGTCTGGAAGGAAGTTGTAACTAGGGATGCCAGAGCTGAGGCCTCACAAGGGATAAAATAAATATGGACTTCAATGGGGAAGCTCGGATCAACGTTGCAAGTTGAAGATGTCAGATTTGAGACTTCATGGGGATGAAATAAACATCCACTTTACTGGGGAATATTGAAGTTGTAAGAAATACACTAAGGAGTGAAATAACATCCACTTCCCTAGGAAGGTTAAAGTCAAGGAAATTCACTGGCGTAGGATTAGGTTACCAACTGAGGAATTCTTGCATAAATTCTGCTATAACTGCTTGAAGTAGAGATTCATCGGGGAATTGTCATGACCACCTAAAGTAGAGACTTACTGGGGACATGGGTGAAGAGTGTTGTGAGAATAAAGTAGCTCTGCATTGATGAACCGTATGGTATTCGCCATTCCGAACAATAGTTGTTATGAATGGATACAATAATCTTCAATTCTCAAATGCCCTATATCACATGATTTATAAGTCATCTCAAGAGGATTTTACATAAAACTTGGCATCCAAGTTGTTTCAATGTCTTCCAAATCTTGGAGAGATTTGTTGAATCTCGACGTAACTGCCTCAGATTGATTGCACTCTGCATACTTGAGTCTTCAAACTTGCCCCCTAAGGGATGGTCAGACTGTGAAAGCAACACCCAAGAAATAACTTGCCCCTGTTCAGCAAAGTCTTCAGGCAACATGCCCCTGGATATGATCATCCTTTTGAAATAATTCTCCATTTATCACCAGAGTCTCAAGTCTCGAAAGATTAAGCTCATCATTGTTATTCGTATGCAAGCTTCTATGATATCAAGCAATGTTAGCATGCAGAAAATGTTAATTCTGAAACTTCTAATGTAACACACATGTTAGTCTTGAATTTTTTATTGAAAAAGATATCACAATAACCTGTGACCAAATCACTAGTTAGGATATGATAATTTTACAAAACCAACATAAATTTGAGCATAACTCATAGGAGTCAGGAAACGTTATCTTGTCGAGTATGTTTTCAAAATAAACCCTGCTTCAATTAGGTCTTTTGAAGGTTGTATTGTGGCTTCTCTGGCTCTTCGTCCTGTGTTCGCACAACGAACATTCGCTGGCTGTTCACACAACGAACATGCTGAAGTTCTTCTCTTCCTTTGGTTTCCTTGTCCAAATGCTTCGTGTCTTACACTTTGATGGTTTTATGCCTAATTCTTGCACAATAACACATAAATCAAAGCAACCAAAGTTATTTTGGCAATATTGAAGAATAACATGATAACATGGAGTAAATCCAACAAAACAACACAAAAGAGTTAAAAAATGCCAATAATTAATGATCAATTTAAAGCAAAATTGGCATTCAACAGTTAGACACCCCTCACTTCTATTGTACTCAATGGAACTCTCCAATAGCTCTAGGGTTACTATATTCATATAAGGGATGTTTGCCTAATTTCTTATTTTCTACTTAGTGCTTTAGTCTATTTATTTATAAGAAAATATTTAATCAAGAAGTGGAACAAAAAATAATTTTTAATATTGTACTCGTCAGAGTTACACAACTCTGTATCCTCAAGCATTATGAAGAATCAGAATATCATAGTTTTTCTCTAAAATACTGGTTGGTTGGTTACTTTTAGTTTACGGAAAACTGACTTACTTTTCTTCTCATTTGGACAGTCTGATGCCTCTTTGATAGTAGGAATTCCTTTATCTTAAAGCAATGTTGAGGATGTGATCATATGGCATTTTGAGATGAACGGAAGGTACTCAGTCAAATCTTCCTACCACACGTGTATGAAGAAAATGCTTGGTTCGACACCAGCTTCATTGGGTGATCCCCATCATAAGCTTGGGAAACTGATTTGAAAGATTCAGTTGCAGAATAAAGTCAAGAATTTCCTTTGGAGGTTGGATAGGAATATTCTCCCTACCAGAGAGAATCTTACGAAGAAAGGTTTGGATCTTGATACTTCTTGCCCTTTACACCATGTTTCATATGAATCTATTGACCGTCTATTCCTAGAATGTGTTTTTGCTAGACAAACTTTCTTCTCTTCTACCTTGAGCCTAAGAACTCCATCAAATGTTGACATTTGTACTTGGCTGGAGAAGTCCATTGCTGAGAAGGACCAATTGGTCTGTCAAATTATTGCAGTAACCCTTTACAAGATTTGGTTGGCTCACAATCTCTTTCTTTTTCGAGAAAAAGCTACTGCTCAGGCGCAGGTTGTTGTGGATGCTATCAATATGGTGTATGAATTAAACCTCTGGAACCAGAATAATGATCAACATGAGTTATCTAGTTCGATAGAACCAGCTTGTAGTAGTGATCACTACATTCTCCAGGTGGATGCTGGAGTTTTTAGTGAAGGCATTACTAGCTTTGGGTGTATTATGAAAAATCTTGTTAATGAGATCATTATTTCAGCTTGCAATTATGAGAATCTTATTGCAGATCCCGCGGTGGCTGAGATGATGGCTACAATTTGAGGAATTAACATCGCTTTGAAGACTAAAGTTAACAAGATCTTAATCCAGTCTGATGCGATAAATGTGGTGGGTTGCATAAACGAGTGTAGAGCTTTTGCTGTTTTAAATCCATTTGCAGAAGATTGTAGAATGCCTTTTAAAAATTTATCTTTTGGTTCTGTTATATTTATTAGTAGAAACCAAAACCTCCTAGCTCATAATCTTGTTAGAGTTGGGAGGAGTCTAGGATCTAAGATTTGGATAAGGGAGTGTTCCTTGCTTGATCCCCAAGGTGTCTCTGTTCCTCTATCTGTTTCTTAATGAAAGAGCTTTCTTATAAAAAAAAGATAATATGGGTGGAGCGTTGGTCGTTAGATATGCACTTCAACATCGTGTTATTTACGTCGGAAAAAAAATATTTGTTGAGTAGCGACGTGATTAACACGTCGGAACCAATGCAGTGTCAGAACGGTCATAACCATTGCAACATGAATTACATGTCGCTACATAAAAGATGTCAGTCAGCACCTGCACCCCATCAATACGTCAGATAAAACTTTTTCACTAAATTTTTTGATTTTCTAAAACTCATTTGTAACGTCTTTTCTATGACAACTTAATTTTTGAAAATTTCAAAGTTCCCCTTTTGAAACCAGTCTTTATGTTTTTGTTTAAAATAAAATGTTGTGATGTGTTTTTTATACTGGAGATTTTTTTTTTTTAATTTTCAATTTCTCTCCACATAATAACCTGACTTTTAACTTTTTATTATTTAAAATATATCACGACGTGATAAGCACATCACAACAATTTTTTTTTTTACCATGTGTTTATCACGTTATAAAATTATATTTTTGAGAAAAAAATTTCTTGTGTTGTATCGATACACTATGTTATTATTTTTTAATTATCAGTATCAATATATTTTTTTTATTTTTTAATTATCAACATGTAAAAATTAGTAAAAAGACGTATTAATATAAGTATTTTTTGTAAGTCAAAACATAAAAAGAAATACATTGATTCAGTGATATAGTAGGTTATCTATTGACTAAGGAGCCCTTAGTTCATCCCTTACTTGAAAGAAAATATTAATAAGACTAACATCATTTGTTTAAATTTTACTAAATTCATTTATCTTATCAAAACAGTGAAAGTGATAATTATATTATCACTTTTCTAATTAGGAATAAAATGTAAAAAAAAAAAATAGATTAGGTCAAGGTCAAATGATGTCATTGGGACTAAAAGTGAACAAACTAAATAAGTCGAATAAACGGATCAAAATGACTCTAACTCATCATAATTCAACCCATCAAAACACATCTAGATGCTTTTATGCTTGACAACTCATTTACTTAAACTAATCCAATTTTTTTAATATATAGATAAGAATTCACCATTTATTTAAAGGAAAATGTTCTAAGGCTGTAAATACGATTTGATTTTTGTAGATACTCCTACTCTTATATAAAAGCCAAATACTCATCTGTTTTGGTGCATCTCGAAATCAATGGCTTCCACCACCACCACCACCACCGTTACCGATTCAACTAAACACATAATCTCAGAACTTCCTTCCTATATCACCGTCTACAACGACGGCACCATCGAACGACCACGACAAGCACCAACAGTACCACCCAATCTCAATGATCCAAACTCCCCCGTCTCATCCAAAGACATCATCATCTCTCAAAACCCCAACGTCTCCGCTCGTCTCTACCTCCCAAAAAACCCCACCCAAAAACTCCCCATCTTAGTATTCTTCCACGGCGGTGGATTCTTCTTCGAATCAGCTTTTTCCAAACTTTACCATGAACACTTCAACATCTTCGCTCCTCAAGCAAACACCATAGTCGTTTCCGTCGAATACCGTCTCGCTCCAGTACACCCTCTTCCTGCAGCGTACCATGACTGCTGGAGTTCACTCCAATGGGTTGCTTCTAACCAAGAACCGTGGCTAACCAACCATGGTGATTTAAACAGAATTTTCATTGGTGGTGACAGTGCTGGTGGGAACATAGTTCATAACATCGCTATGCGTGCTGGTTCTGAAGCTTTACCGAATGATGTTAAAGTTTTAGGAGCTATTTTGCAACACCCTTTTTTCTATGGTTCACACCCTGTTGGATTAGAAGGTGTTAAACTCAAGAGTTCTGATCATGATTTTTACTGTTCCGTTTGGAATTTCGTGTATCCATCAGCACCGGGTGGAATTGATAACCTTCATGTTAATCCTTTGGGTTTAGAGGCACCGAGTTTGGAAGGACTTGGTTGTGATAAGATGATCGTTTGTGTTGCTGGGAAAGATGGAATTAGAGAGAGAGGGGTTTGGTATTATGAAATAGTGAAAAAGAGTGGTTGGAAAGGGAAATTGGAATTCTTTGAAGAAGAAGGTGAAGATCATGTTTATCATATCTTTTATCCTGAGTCTGAGAATGGCCAAAAATTGATCAAACGATTGGCTTCTTTTCTCCATGAGTAGAGAAAAGTGTTCCTTTCTATTCCTCTGGTCTTTATTATAAATATAGATCAGATAAATGAATGCTGTTTTAGATTGCAATAGTATTGCTAATAATAATGTTTTCCTGTGATCAGGAATAATAGTTATGGGTTTTCTTCTTCTTAATTGTTGTGACAAAGTGCAGTGGATTTAGTTTTTTTTTTTTTGGTTTGTTATTGTGAAATTAAAGAGTTGTGTATAATTAGGCCTGCTAATGGGGTGAGGTGAGTTTAGCTAATTTCCTATCCTCGTATCCGTATCTGATTTTTTTGTTATAGACCCGTCTTAGTCCCTAAATCTAATTGGGAATGAAATGTTTACTACTCAGATCCACCTTTAATGAAAACAGGTTTGTCTCCACTCGCACATGCTCTCACATGAAAAAAATGATTTAATAATTTTTTTAAAATTATAATAAAGATTAATAATTTTATTAAAAATTTGACCTTTAATAATAAACTAGTTTGAGTGAATGGTGAGAAATGACACATGATAATTTTTAATTACTTCTTCAAAATTGAAAAAAATGTGTAATAAAATAATTTAAATATGAATATTAAAGTAAATATCATAAGCTTGGGCGCGACAGAGTGGGTGCGAGGCGGATAGTAGCATCTATGTCTCTATATTTGCACTTGCAATCATAAACCGGATTTTTCCGCATCCAATCGAATCAAATTTCTCTTGTTAATTTTGAACCGGTTTGGACGAGCTCGAACTTTCTTGCCACATGCCTACATGATAGATTGGATGATAAGATGACATGAGCAAAAGCAATGGAGCATTGTTTTTCTTTTGGTACGTGAACCTTTTTGGACTAAGTTCAAGAACTGGAACAATATCTTTGGTTCTCAATTATGCAGTGTATATATAGTATTACCCTCTCACATCAAATTCCTACCATTTTGTCCTTATTTTCTCAAGATGGAAAAGGGGATATCGTGTTGCATTTAGGCCGTTTCTTTTAACTGCACTATATATTAAATGAAAAAGAAAAAGTACATAGAAAAAGATACAACATCAGAATTTTTTTTAATGGATTATTTAGCCCTTTAATTTAATTTAATATTTTACTTTAATCTTTTATTTAATAAAAAATTATTTTAAATTTCTTAAATATCATTCCGTTAATTACATTGATTTTGTCTGTTAAATTTTATCAAATTTTATTAACTTGTGTATGAGTGACATGCCAGATGGTTTTAGGTTAAATGATATGAAATTATTTTATTATATATTGATTTAAATTTAAATACAAAATAAGTTTCTCTCTTCTCCCTTCTTCCCTAACCAACCCTAGCCATCACGCTTCTTCATCTCTATCTTCATCCTTTTTAGCATCAGAATTATGAGTTTAGAAATAGCAGCGGAATCATCGGAAGGTGAAGAAGAAGGAAAGTTAAGATGCAGCTACCAGATGCTGACTGTCGATGATGACCTCCGAGAACTGGAGAAAAAGGCCGCCTAGAGCATCAGTTCTTGCAAACCCAACAACTTCGTTTCTTCTCTTTGAAATGACAATCTCGAAACCTATTGAAAAATCGATGGAGCTCAACCTCATTTTGTTAGCATTCAATTCCAAAAGAAAGTTCGATTACAATTAGTTGTACTATATGTGGATTTCAAGCATGAAAAGAGTAACACTTCCAGTAAATTTTCGATTCGCGCCGGAGACAGATTTCACAACTTCAAGGAGATAAAAGTTGTGGAACTTATGAAATGAACTGGTTGGCTTTATCTTTTATAGTCTGTTTAGATCTGCTAGTGGTAGTTATAATAAGATTAGATATGACCCTTTTTGTTTTTTGCTGAAATTTATAGTTTGTTTCAAATGGGTTTATATTAGGATTAGATATGGGATATGCATTCTCCATCGTAAACATCCTCAGAAGAATCAATTTTAGTAGATCTTGAATTAATTATTTCTTCAATAATACTCCCTCCGTTCAACAATGAGTGACTCATTTGGAATAAAAGGGTGTCACAAAATGGTTGACTTATTTCAATTTCCAATGCATCTTTTCCAATTTTGCCCTCTAATTAATATTAATTTTATCATTCCCAATATATGATAAGGGTATTTTAGTAAAAATATCATTCTTTTTCTTTCATTTATTCCTTTTTCTTATTATGTGTAAAAAAATCAATTGAATCACTCATTATAGGACAGAGGGAGTATCATCAAAAATCTCATATAACTTCTTCAAATAATTGGTGACCTTTGCATGCACACTTTGTAGAATAGGAAAAAAAATCTGAAATATTAGGTTTCCCAACTTCTTCTGTGATACCCAGATAATTTTCTTAAATCCTTGAGACTCTTGGCCATGTATTGATTGAGCCAAATCCATAGAAAATAAAGTATTTGAAATTGAATTAAGGATAGATGTAAAAACAACCTCACCAATATCAAAGAGTCAAATCCTTAATTTATTTTAGTTTAAGCCTTGCTTTGAATAAGTAATATATCAAGATTTTGGTTTAATGCCATTATATTCTAGATTATGATAATATAAAAAAGTTTCAATTTGATACTTTAATTATATATAAGGTTTCAATTTAGTCCATTTATTAAATTATTGATTCACTTACCATGATGTCATGCCACATATGCACAACTTAACGTTCTTAAAATTTAACATAAATGACCAACATGACTAACGGAATAGTTTTTAAAAAATTAAAATGTAACCTTTATTAAATAAGGGATTAAAATGAAAACTAAAATTAAGTTAAAGGACTTCAACACTAATTAAGTCTTTTTTTTAGATAACCACTATTTTCAAAAAAAAAATCTCATATAACCACATTTTCAAATTATGCTGAAGTGTGATGCCAAAGGCAGTGGCGCATGCATGCAAACTTTAGGAGCATGTGCCATTGTCTGTGACTCCAGTATAATTTTTGTTTTTTTTTATATAATTATTTTAACAAAAATATAATATTAAAAAAATGTTTAATAAAAAATAAAATATAATACTATTTATCTTATAGAATTACATAACGAATGGAGAGAATTTTAATGGCCTACTCGATCGTAACGCCCACCGGTTCCACATCCGATGCATTCACTTTCCTTCGAGGTCTCCCGCAATTTTCCTAATGTGTTTAGAGTCTCTTAGTATTCTCCTGAGCCAAAGGTAGTTGGTGCGAGAGTCATGGGATATTAGTGTTATCTAACAAATTTTCGATCATATCTCCCCAATAGTTGGTGTTGTCATTCCTTGAAGATTGGGGCTACGCCAGGCGAAAATGACTCGTGCTTCAAAGTCCGGGTTGTCATTTCTTTCACAAAAGAAATCTTTTAGCAACATTGAATCTGGTTCTCCCTCGGTGGGGTATCCTAGATGACGGAAAGCTAAGATGGGATTGTAGCTAATATACCCTCGAGTGCCGATTAGAGGTATATTAGGGAACTCCCCACAACTATGTATCATAGTTATTCCTCCGAGAGCCAGGTCGTACCAACTGACGTCGTAATGAGAGAGTGAGGATAATTTTTAAATCCATGCGTCACTGTCTTGTAGGTTCCATAGCGGGAACGTTCTAGGCAAATGTGAAATAAACCATTTGCTCAAGAGGGTTGTGCAGCAAGAAAACTGTCCAAGATCGTATGTTTTCCACCGATGGATGGTGTAGTAAGTGTCAACCAAGAGAGTGGGAACTAGGTTCCTGACGATAAACAACTTGATGGCTTCCAGAATGATGAAATCAGGGCTACTAGGAGATAGATACAAGTCGTAAATCAAGAAGGCTAATATGGCTTCGAAGATTCCCGGCTCCCTACGATTGTAATAGAATTCAGCTTTCTCCATGAATGGTCCGACTTCCATTTCGATGATCCCATCCCTATTACTCAACTGAGTCGGAAGATCGGTAGGCTCTAAGTGAAGAGCTTTAGCAATGTCTATTCTCCTTGGTCTTCTCTCCATTCCAAAGTTAGCTGTGAAAGTCATCGGGATTTTCAGATACCCAGAATATTCTTCCAAAGTTGGCAGTAGTTGGAAGTATAGGAATGTAAAGCAGTGGTAAATGGGGTCGTAGAATTGTACGAGCGCTTGCAACATTTCCTCATTTACTTGTGTATCAAGTAAAGATAACAAATCTCTGTATTTGGCTATAAAAGCCCAGGATTCCTCACCAGGTTCCTTAAGATCCTTAGGTTACCCAACCTTAGGCTTGGGAATGCAATCATGTTTCCTTGACTCATTACTATGTTTGAAAAAAAAACAAGATTTAATTCCTTGAATGGTTAGTAAAAATGAAAAATGCAATGCAAGGATGCAACTGGTTTTACAAAACTCAAAAGATAGTTAAAGCAAAAACCCTCGTTTCATTTATGTTGGGAAAAGTTACAACTTTTGAAATATAACCCAAGAAACATGAGGCTACATCAGAGGAGAAGACTTAGGTCCTATGGTTAGGAAATATGACAAGAATCTTATTCGCGTGTCCTCTTCATTATTTTTAACATAGTATTCTCCATCACCAATTTGTCTACTATTCCCTTCCAAGCGCCAGAGGTTGGTGGGATGTTCGAATACTCATGAGTACTCTATGTGGGTTTGACGCTAGAGAAAAATAAGTTATCTTTTGTCACATCTCCGTCAGATAGGCGTCTTTCGAGCCACCCAATCAACTTATCTTTGTCTTGCAACTCTCTCTGCAATTCTTTCGTATCAGCATGCAGAGTATGGTACTTGTCTTCCCATGTGTCCCTCTCAAGCTTTGTTCTCTCAAGAACCTCTTGATACTCCTTCATGTTTTTATCAAGAATGGCTGAAGATGATGCAATGACGATCTTCATATTCTTCTCAAGAAGGTAAGGCATCGTGAGATCATGAGCTCTAGATTGGACCCACCGAGTGAATGGCTCAAAAGCTACACAGTTCCTTTTCCCCAAGTCAGCTTTGGTCTTTCTCCGGATATTCTTCCAAGCGCCATCTGTACTATTTCTTAAGTTTTCCTCTACTTTGGCATTG